TCGGTTCCCCGGTTCGGTTCATGAACTGACTTTTTAAAAACCATATTAATTCATGAACTGGTTTTTAAAAACCAGTTATTTTAAGTGTGGTTCAGTTCGGCTTGGTTTTTTTGTTATTTTGCACATCCCTAGTTGAATTACTTTGACTTCCAACCCTAAATCCCCAAATCCACCATTATCCACCAACCCCAATCTGAATTATGAGTACTCCACAATTGATTCGTCGATTGACATTCGAAGAAAATCAAAGATAGAAGATATATTTTCACTACAATAAGACTTATGCTCTAGGCCATGGACATAAGAAGTTGTTCTTAATCTATGTCATGGTTAAGGCAAACAGGGTTGTGTTTCCACTGCAACGAGACTTTTACTCCAGGCCATGGATGCTCCAAGTTATGTTGAACAAAATTTACCAAGGAAGATATTCAAGCAATTGTGTATTAAGGTAGGTTCTCTTAGTTGAACTCAAATCCCCTTTATTTTTCCAAAATAGGAATACGTAACATATCATTATTTTTTATATATGTAAGTGATGCAAAACATGAAACATTTGCTCAAGGAATTAATTAAGATCAAGTAAAATTTTAACTTGTATAGAATAAATTGATTATATTGTTATACACAATCTAGTGCTTAAATGTTATGGATGTCTTTTTCTAATATAAGTGACATGTTTGCAATGTCGAATAATAATTAGTATACATAAGGCAATTCACCTCCTATATAAATGATAAATTTATTTAGAATAAAGATAAAAAAAGATAAAATTAGCTATAATTGGTTTTAAAAATATAAATAATCTCTGTATAAATATGTGTAAAAAATCTATTGAACAATGTGAAAGGTATTGAATATCTAAGAGCATGTTTGGTGCACAGTATATGATAAGGCCTGATAGTATAAGGTCTGATTGTATAAGATTTGATTAAGTTTTAATACTGTCCAGCGTGTAACATGATATTGTATAGGATAATGTATTATATAAAATAATATCATTCAGTGTTTGGTTATGCACTAAATAGTACTAGATAGGATAAAAATAAATATTTTCAACAAAAATACCGTTTAATAAAAATTTTATATAATTTTTTCAAATATGTCATTAGATATTATTTTTTATAAAAATCTCCAATATTTTAAAAATTAATATATTGAAAAATCATTTTTTATTTTAATATATTAATATTAAATAAAAAATATAAAGTGGTGTGTAAATCGGAGTAGAAAACGAATAGAGCTACAGATAGATACACTTCTTAACCATAAATTGACCCATCCCCATCATCATTGTTGTTGGCAGCAAGCTCCAAAAATCGTCTTCTTCTCCACAAACTCTGCTAGTTGAAGTACAAACAATCACCGCCTTGAAGGTATCCAAGGAGAAAAAGATGATATTTTATGGAATAGTCAGCGAAGTTCAAAGAAAAGGAATCATCACCTTGTTGTTCTCACCTTAGGGACTTTTTCTTCAAATTTCTATTCTACTGTGCTAACAAATATCTGTGAGTAAATATTTTATTTTTTTTAATCTTGTTTGATTTCACAAACAATGGTTGATGTATAAGGCCATACTTATTTCAAGTCTGAGATCAATTGATAGGACTTCTTGGCTGATTATTTAATATTTGTGTTAGCGCACTTTGTGTTTGATAAAAGGTCTAAGCCATTTAATATTGTACCAAATGTGGACCTCATGGAAAATAGTATATTTTAAACTTACACCTTAATGTCTTGAGATTAGTATTTGAAGATGTGCTTGGAATGTATCAGATAGAAGGCTGAGGAGAAATGGTTATAAATTGAACTTGTTTTATGGGTATTTGCAATACATGTCAAATATAGCTTGTTGAAAGAATAATTGAATCAGTTTTTTATGTCAACTTGTTTATAGCAATTAATGATTCATTTTTATTATATTTTTATTTTTATTTTTTTCCCTTGGAGTTTCTGCTAGGCTATCAATTGGTTAAATAATTTAAAACGTTTGATCACACATTTATAGAGTTTTTTTTAAATAAAGAAGATTTTGTAATGGTAATTAATAGGTAATTATCATTTAAAGTCCATCGTTTCCATTTTGCTCCTGATTAAAAAAATTTATGAATGCTTCTTAAAACTAATTGGAGGTTTTCTTTCCATGTGGAATTAGATTCTTGAATTAAAATATCTCGTGAATATTCTTGAAGGATGATTATCTCCTTTTTTTGTTGGGTTTATTTTTGTATTAGATTTTTCATGAATGCTCTTTAAGGCTAATGATAGAGTTTCTTTTTCATTTTTACTTATTCAACTTATAGATAATCAAATTTGATAGTATGAGGTATTATGATTTATAATAATGATAAAAGCCTTTACTGGAGAAAAAACTATAGGTTTCCGGTGTTGTACATGTTTGTCAGATAAATTTTATATAAAAAGTTTGGAGGACAATTTTCATTACCAAAGTCGATTTTATTGATTATTATTAATACATTTATTGATTATTATTAATATTCTCCACCGGTACAATTTATTTCCCTTATAATTTTAAAACACATAAGATTTTATTAACAGTTGTTATAATATTAAATTAATAAATAAGACAGTACATATCTATTATAACAGTTGTTGTAATATTAAATTAATAAATAAGACAGTACATATCTATTTTAATTTGTCTATCATTCAGTTAAATATTTTATTAACTAATCAATGTCTCGTAGTAATAGTCATATTAGCTACTATTTACAGTTAGTGGTATAATATATATTTATAATGTATTCTTATATTTACATGTTAAAATTTAAATATTATATTATCATATATGTTTAAATATTTATAAGTTAATAATATTTATCATAAGACTTATCATATACTACATTTAATGTTGCACTTATCATTTTATGTAGTTACACATGTAACATAAATAAAATTTATTTATTTATTTATTACTAATAATAACTTATTTATTTACTTCAAATATATTAATATTATTAATAATAATAAATTATTTATTTATTATTATTATTGTTATTATTATTGATATTTTATACATTATTACTTTGATTATTATTATTTTATTTTATTTTATTTTTATTCGATTATTACAATCCTGCGCAATACAGCAGTGATCCCATTAATATCAACTTACCACCTCAAATTATACTTATTTAAACCAGACTGAACCGTAGATAAAATAACAAATGCTAAGCTTACCAAAAAAAAAAAATAACAAATGCTAAAGATGGTTGTCCTTACATTTAGTGGGTGCAAAATGGACATTCATGCTTGAATAGCCGAATAGTATATACCCTTCTCTTAAAATTTTGACAATTTCACCAAGAAGTTATCCAATAACATGTGGACAACAATGATTCCATCGCTTTCATTTTTTTGATATATGCAAGCATATTTTATCATTTACGCACAAATATTTTCTCCAAAGAATATTGGGATGAGATTATAAGACTCCATTTGAAATAGTTCACTTCAAAAAATAAAAATGTCGGTATTTATTTTTCCGCATTACCAAAATAAAGTTACATGCTTTGGTAGTCAAGAAGTACTTTATCATTATAAATGAATAAATTGAATTGTCCATTATATTCATTCTACAACATGATCACATCATGAATGAATAGACGCATAAAAGATATAATATCTTAAAAGCTCTATTTGTTTGTCTTCCGCAAAATAAAACCCTTAGTCCACCTATGAAAGACCCTAAAATTATTAATTGGTAGTAAGTATTCTGTTATTTTCAATTATGTATTATTGAATAAACAAAATAAAAATTGATAATTTGAAGAATCTTAAAAAAAAAAAAAGAGGGGGGGGAGGGGGGGAATAAGAGAGAGTGGGAAAAGGTGGAGACACAGGAAATATGGGGGCGCTGAAACATCACGTGAAGGAGAATATCTTTGGCATACATGCAAAATTCGGTACATCTTTCGTTCATATTGTTGACACGTGTCTTACTTTATATCAAATCACTCTATTTTTAATTTTAAAATAAATTATTTATTATTAACTTGACAAAAATAAGACACGTGTCACGATAGCACCGAATCTACGGTACATATGTAATACCAAACAAATTTCCCACGTGAAGACAACATGAACTCCGACAGGCACATAGTCAACACGGAATGCTCATTGGGGCCCACCGCCAGACACGCCCGCTTCTGATTCGGTCTCACTTTGTACGTAGCGTTTTCGCCGTCGGTGCCGCCTGCATTGCAATTCACATTTATTATTTTACTTTTTTTAAAAACAAAATAAATAAAAAAAGAAATAACACGCAACACAGGAATAGAAGAGAAAACGAATGAGTCCTCTGTACCAAAAAAGGAAACGAATGAATGAGTCTTCTCACTCATCACTCGGTGGACCCCACACGTACAAACAGCCGTAGGATTAAAAGTTCCATTGAGATCCGCGCCGCAACGGGATAAGCCAACTCGCGAATCACGACAATACCCCTGTGATCAAGTACCCACGCTCCTCATCATGAATTCCTCAAAAGCCTCTCTTTTTTTGTTAAAAAAAAAACTTTTTTATTTCCCACTTTGGAATAATTTTAAAAAAGTGGAATCGAATTCGCCAGTTAAATTGATTGAAATAGAATATGTTATCGGTTTAAACTTTTAAACATTATCTTTTGTATATTTGTAATTCAAAAACGATTTAACTACAATTGCTTTTAAGTTTTAAGTAACCTATTGACTCACTCAAACTTGACTCAAGTCTCTCACTATAATTCAATTTTCTGTTCGGTTTTAAAAGGTGAGCCCACACGGTGACACACCATCAAGCAAGATGGGTTTTTTTTTTTAAATTATTTATTCAAACTTATAATATTATGTGAGGTTAACAAATAACAACGTCTAAAAGAACAAACCAATCATATTGTGTTTTGAGAGAGAGAAAGAGGGGCTAACAATAAATAACCTCTCAAACGCGCAACAATGCCGGCGACATGTCTGTCAGATCTTAACCAACGAATTCCAACAACAACAAAGTTGCTTGTTTGGTTAATCGGAAAATGCAAGAAAATTGTACGACCCCACTGGTCACGCTAGTGGATAGCGTTAGAAAAATTGCTAAGCTAAATAACAACATATTTCACAAACGAGACCCACCCATTGCATTCTGTTAATTAAGAGGCATTAGTCTTGTTCTCTTTTCATCAGCGTGTTCTTCACTTTCTTCAACCAAAGAAAGAACATGAAAGAAAGGAAGAGAAACTTACAATAAATATAGTAAAAATGGCAACATATATTTCTAATATATCAAGATTAACTGCGATTTCATAAACAACCATGAGATGCTCTCCTAATAAGTTCTCAGTTGCAAAAAAGAAAAAAGAAAAGCACAAGGCCCTGCTTTTGGATTTTAGTATATTTACAAAACGTGCTTGTTATCATCGTCATCATCATCATCATTATCATAATCATAATCAACAAATCCGAGCATGATTTAAGCTAACCATTTTGCTAACTCTCTTAGTTATATGTTTATAGAGAGAGTGATTCCGTTTTTTTCAAAATGGGTACTTCAAAAATGCTTAAAAAAAGGAGAAAAATTAGATCTTTGCCGAAGGGTCTTGAAAACGCGGCCAAATCAGGCAACCTCCGGCGGAGGAGGGACATTAAGGTCAAGATCTAAGAGTCTCTGACGCGGGACACGCTCGTAATCCACGACGGAGGAAGAATCAGAATCACTCTGTCCGCCACCGCCGCCGCCGCCGCCTGCGACGGTGCGGAAATCAGCAACCGGACGATCGAACCCACACATCTCGCGGCGACCTACGCTCAGCATGCTCTCCGCACGTGCAAAAGCGTCGAAGAACAACACAGGACGAGCCACAGGGAACGCCAACGCGCTGACGGCGGAGAGTGGGGTTAGGGTGAGGTCCAGCGGCGGCGGCGGCGGTGGAGAGGAAGATTCGAGGGTGCTGCTTTGGCTTGGGCTACGGGTGTTGTTATTTACAAGCTCAGAAGGGGTGGGAAAATTCGTCTTAGCCTTTGCGCCGCGAAAATCACGCGCCGCCGCATCATAAGCACGTGCAGCCTCCTCCGCTGTGTCGAAGGTGCCGAGCCAGACTCGTGTTTTTTTCCCGGGGTCGCGGATCTCGGCGGCGTAACGCCCCCACGGACGCTTCCTGACGCCTCTATAACGGATCTCCTTGGCGGCGTTTAGTGCGGCGGCGGCGGTGGGGTTGATTCCGGTGAGTGCGGTGGTTCTATCCCTTGGAGCCATTGTTTTGCTTTTATCAGACTTTGGTTATGGATTAGAATATTTCTCAATAGGGAACAGAAAAGTGAGGTAACAAGTGTGGCTTGTGAGATTGAGACATTGCCTGAGCCAAACAAATGGAGTTGGGAGTGTTTTTATAGCACAAAATGGAGAGAGAGAGAAAGTGTAGTTGTGTGCGTGCGTGTATAAAGCTACGCTCCTTTTAGGCGCTTGCTGCTTACACAACGTGGCTTCCCTAGCACGAACCACTCTGGTCGATGCTGCTACCACTCCCCTTGTGCCACCTTAGTGCACTCATTTATTTCGTTTTGTTTCTTCTTTTTTGTTGCTGTCAGCGGACATTTGGTAGAGGAATTTTTTTCTTTTTTCCAAGAATTTCGATTTTCAAAAATATGATTTTTATATTCAGTTTACTATAATATCTAGAAATTTAAAATTTAAAAAAATTTAGTTTCCCAAAAATCCGGCCAAAATTCTTGTACCAAACACCTCCTAAATAACAATAATAACGCTTTCTTTTTGTTCTAAGTATACGGTCTTGTCAACTTGGTATTTATTGTTTGGAAACTCTATGGAGTTGTTTCGTACGCACGAATTTTTAAGATTTTCGAGAAATTAATTTTTTTTTAATTTTAAATTTATGAATATTATTGTAAACTGAAGGTAAAAATTATATTTTTTATTGAATAAATATCTTTTTTGATCTCTAACAAAAAACACGTCCCCCACTTTAGTCCCTTACAAAAATAAATTAGTCAGTTAGTCCCTAATAAATTCAAAGTGAACCCATTTAGTTGAATTGTGGTCCCACACAAATTCAAAAAAGACCCATATTAGTCCCTCAAAAGGACTAAAATGGGTCCACTTTGAATTTGTTAGGGACTAACTGACTAATTTATTTTTGTAAAGGGACTAAAGTGGAGACCGTGTTTTTTGTTAGGGACCAAAAGAATATTTACTCTCTTTTTTTACTAAACGTCCCTTAAATTTTTTTTGCATTTTCTTGATTAATTATTTTATATTTAACTAAAATATTTTATATTTAACAAAATAATTGAATCGAACTGAATTATATTTTCCTACATCATTTCAAAAATTGAACCGGATAAAAAAATTGTTTTGAAAATTCAGTTTGAATCTAGTTCAGAACGTATTCAAAACCAATTCAGAATTAAATAAAAAGAAAATATTCATGCAGTTATTGCATATAAATTATCTGTATTTATTTTTAAAACAACGTTGTTTTGATATTGAAAAATTATAATTATATAGACTATAATGATTCTGAAATAAATTAAAATTATAAAAATATCATAATTTTCGTCCCAAAACGACGTCGTATTGGATTTATTGCAGATAACTTATCTGCAGAAACTGCAGAAAAAACGAACCCTTAATTAAATTAATAATTAATTTTGAAACATGAATCCATTCTATATTATTCTAAAATCGATTTTGAACTTTTCGAGAAAAATAAAATCAGTTTGATTAAATAAAATAGTTAAGTTCTTTAACCAAATTAGTTTAAGAGTAAATACCTTTTTCGGTCCTCAGTAAAAATTTTACGATACTCGCTTTAGTCCTTAGCAAATAAAAAGGCTATTCGTGATCTTAAAAAATTCAAAGTGGATCCATTTTAGTCCTTTTGAGGGACTAACATAGGTCTTTTTTGAATTTTTAAGAGACCACGATTTTCACGAATAGTCTTTTTATATACTAGAAAATAAAGCGGGCATTGTAAAATTTGCTGAGGATTAAAAATGATATTTATTCTTAGTTTAAACATATTCAATTCGATTTAGGATAAAAAGAAAAATTATATCACCATGCAGACCCTTATCTGTGTGATTAGAGACGGCAAAACCGGCGCGGCTCGGGGGGCCAACCCGCCCAACCCGCCAAACAGGGCAGGGCGGGTTGAGTTTTTTAACTTATCTCAAAAGCGGGACGGGCTCATTTTTTGGCGGGTTGATGGCGGGCATAGGTGGGCTAGTGTAAAATAGGCTCGGGCTGGCGAGCCAACCCGCCAAACGGGGCGGGGCGGACTGAGTTTTTCAGCCTACTTTCAAAAACGGAGTGGAGCGGACTGACTCATTTTTTAACGAGTTGATGACGGAGTGGGACTGGGCGGGGCGGACCTCCCACTTTGCCACCTCTATATGTGATATATGATAGTTTATCTTATAACCATTTCATCTTGAAGAACTTCATCCGAAAATTCTCTTCAATAATATAAAAAAAATGATGTCGTTTTGAAATTTGAAAAAAGTAATAAAAGATATTTAAAAAATATTTTTTCTATATTTTTCAAATTTTAAAATGATGCATCATTTTAAAGTTATAATTAAGAAAAAATATTTATCTTTTCAAAGGACATAATTTTAATTAAAATAACTATTCTTTATCTAATGTTTATTTTCTTCCATCATAATTTTTATTATGTAACAATTTTTTTATCGTAAAATTTTATAATTTTAACTAAAATAACTATAAAGTATAAACACTAATCCCCATCATTAATTCTTTAGGGGCGTTTGATTGGGTAGAAATTTTTGAATACTAGAAAAATGGATAAAAAGTGAATTTGGTAAGAAAATGTAAAAAAAATTATTTGGTTGTCCGAAATATTACCAGAGAAATTTATTTAAATTTACAAAATCTACGTTCAGGACAAACTTTGCACCTGTTTTTCACTTTCACAATTATCTCAAAATACCACATCTCAAGTGGTATTCTGTAACAGTGAATTTTATCCAAAAATCAACACAAAATATCCTATTTACCTAGTATTTTTTTCAAAAATCTGAACCAAACTAGATATTTTTCAATATTACTTACACTCTTCCATCAATCCCAATATAAATTTTCTACCGAACACTACCTTATAAATAAGCAAAAAAGGGGCAGTGATAAGAGCATCTCCGTTAAAATGTGACAACAAGAGCTACAGAAGCGTCACACGTGCAGCAAAAGAAAGTTGTCCACTCAGAAGAAGCGCGTCTGAGAACGCTCCCCACACGTGGCTGGCGCTCAGTAACGAAACCAACCATTTTTATCTTGCGAAAACATTGGGCACGGTCAACGAGGTGCGTTGACTGCACTCTGTTTAGTGTTTATGTATACTGCACGCCTCTAGAAAGCGCCGCGCCGCCCCAGCGGCAAGAGAGAGCGTGGTGGAGGGCCCCACCATCAACATTAATAATTGCGAAGGGAGGGCCGAACCAGCCACGTAGCCACTCTAAAACGTAGACACGTGGACTTTTAAAAAGACAAGAAACCCTAACTTATGGAGGCGGCGTCTGTCTTAACGGCGGTTAAAAAACTGTTCGACCATAAACGGAAACGGCAGTTAGAGATAACAGAGTTTGAGGTTGAGGTTCGATTATAATTAAGAGACATTTGTCGGCATGCACCGCCTCCTCGCCGCGTGAGATGGATCAGGATCAGAAGAATCAAACCTAGGCCAAATGTGTTTGAATCCTTCGATCTGATCGGACGGTTGAAAATGATGGGGATTCAGAAAGTTGACACGTGGTGCTTTGGATCCCTAGCGGGAGACACGCATAGCACGGCCATACTGTACCATCCAAAGTTATCATTCATGTACTGTGGTGGTTCTTTTCACTTCCACCACAGGTATTATAATATTTTTTTATTGAAATTCTTCGGATTTACAATAATTTTTTTTCCTTTTCTATTTTTTTCTTCTTTTAATTTTAAGAGTATTAATCGAGAAAGCGTGTCTCGGAATCGTGTAAAAAGTAGTTAAGACTTCCTAGCAATAAAGTAGAACTAAAAAGTGTATAAAAAAAAAGTATAACTGAAAAGAAAACCTGAAAAAAGTAGGGTTTTCTACTTTTCTTTTAATTTTCGTTGATATCTCATTTAATTAAATATCTTGATATTTATATAAAATTTATATATTTATAAAATATTTGAAATTAATTATTTAACATAGGTCTGTAAGTTTTTTTATTATTATTATGTAAATGTTAGTGTGCGTATGAAGTGAATTGCAAGTAAATATTGTGATACATATATTTTGGGAATAATATTTTTCATGTTATAAAAAATAAAATATATACACATAAAAGTATGCGGGACTCATTATTTCTTTTCTCTCTTCACATAAGTTTCACATATTTTTTTTTTTTGTACATAGTTTCACATATTTTTATGTACGTATAAAAGATAATTTTATCTCCTACTATATAAGAAATTAATTTCATATATTTTTTATTATACGCAAATTAAATGCCGCTTATATACTTGTTTTTTTTTTTGGTATCCTATCATGTATACTTGTTTTAATATGAAGCATAGCACACGACACCGTAAACTAACATTGTGACTTTTTCAAGAATGAATATAATTATATAAAGAAAAAATATTTATTCTTTTAAAGAATGATTATTTTAATTAAAATCAATATTTTTATTTAAAATTTAAATTAAAAAAATCATTCACTTTCTCTTCTTATAATTTTCACTTTGCATCTTTTCCTTTCACTTAAAAAGTCATGATTTTATATTCTTTAAAATAACAAACACTAAACCCATTATATAAATTAAGTTGTGAAATTCGGCTCGACCCAGAACCCGACGAATCGGTAATCGGACCGGTTCAAGTCAAGTATCGGACTGGCCATGCATCGGACCGGTTCAAGTCAAGTATCGGACTGACCATGCATCAGACCCTATCAAATTCGGTCAAAACCAGTGACTTGGTCAGGTCATGCATTTTTATAAATAAATATATAAATATATCAAAAATCAAAAAGCCAAAATTGTTTCATCTTGTTAGAAAAATGTAGAACTTATTTTAAAAAAATTTGTAATTTTGTTTGCAAGTAATTTTTGTAATTTTATGGGGAAGAAAAAAAATTTATATATATATATATACTCTTTTACAATGAAATCAAATTTCAGCTTCCAATATTGAAGCAATTTATGAAACAATAAATTAAGAGAATGTGACATATGTCATTTCAATATAAATGAATTTGAAAAATATGAGTTCACAATATCTGACCTTTTGTATGTGGGTTTGTTTTTTCTAAAGTTATTGTAGATAACTTTATCTAATGTTCATCGAAACGACGTCGTTTTGGAGCAGAAATCATGATGTTTTTG